AAAAAAAAAAAAAAAAAGACTGTTGATCTAGACATTTTAAAAAAACATGACAACAAGCCCATATGTTACTGCAGGCATCCTACATAGATCCCTCTTCTCCGTCACAGGGCACCAGCCATTATCTCCTTCCTCCACTAGCCACCCCCTTTGCCAAACAAATGCGTTTAATCCAAAAAAAAGGGAATTAATTTTGTCCCCTTCAAGAAAAGCGTTTCTCCCCTTAGTTCAAAATTAGTGTTGGAGAGAAGAACGGAAGTGGGGCAGGCCTGGTTTCTGCATCACCAACCATCTTCTGATATGTTTAGAGACTACTCACCCTGCCTTGGTTTCCCTTCACTACTTCCTTAGTTGGGGGCTACACTTCCACTTGGGCCCTGTGCTCTGGTGACTTCACTCTCTCTCTGTGCCATCTGATGCCTAGGGCATCCAGGTTTTAGACAGGACACAAGGAAGCCAAAACTCACTGCTCCTTGCACTTCTCAAAGGGATTTTTAGCTGTCTCTGTGGTAGGGCCCCTAACCACCTCCTCAGCTGTGCATCTGAAAGCACCTGACCATTGCAGTTTTTGTTAAGGAGTTAGGGAGTCTGAACAGGGCTAGTCTCCACAAAAGATTATCAGTCCTGGATTAGGCACAGACTTTATTTTTTTTCCAAGTTGCTACTTTATAGCACTCGTTATGCATCCTGCCTTCCATCAAGGAGGCTCCATCACCTCATCTGGCACCCCCAGGCAAGGTGCAGGCAATAGATTTAAGCAACAGTCCCAAAAGAAACATAAAATAAAGGATTTATTGCCCTTCCTGAGCCCCTTTCCCACAGGGCACTAGCCTCCCATTTTTTCCCCTCTAGTCATTTCCCCAATCTGGATCTTTATGCCCAGTTAACTTCCAGGCTAGCTGTCCGAGATTTCTCCTCTCCCTTTCCAGAGAATCACCAGAAGAAATCCTACTGCTGGGCTTTGTCTGCTCACTACTGAGCTTTTCTAGTCCGTGAGGGCAAAGGGCAATCACCTGTTTCCTTTGCAGCTGAATCAGATAACTGATCCATGCCATGTAATCACCAGCAGACCAGGATAATCTGGGGGAATAGCAGCTCCATCAGAAATGCAGAGCTGGATGACTCTTAAAGGACACATTAGCAAGTGAAAGGGAAGGTGTATGTGTGATCAGAAGAAGTTCAAAGGAAAATAACAGACCTGAGCAATGCTGGGTGTTTTTAACTTCCAGTGTATTTAGTGAGCAAGGAGGGCATTTGGCTCCCCTCAGGACTGTGTTACTGTGTATGGTCAGGCTCTAAACTCCAGGTGTAATAGAGAGATGCATTCTGCTCAGGGAGGGCTGAGAGTCTGCACCAAATACATTGGTGCTTCTCCCCAAGCAGAGAATATTTTCTTTTATCCTTTTGAGCTGTTATGCCTTGTAGTTCCTGAGTCAGCCCCTTGATGACAGAGCAGGGACCTTCCAATTCATCCTCTTGGAGCAGAGGTTTCTAGCCAAACAAGAGTTTAATTTGGAATAGCTAAGGTTGACTAACAGGAATATGATAATAGTGAGCAATATCCTGTGGTGATCAGATCTTGTGCTTGCTGCTGTCTTAGAAATGTCTCCCACATACAGAGAGAGAGAGAGAGAAAGGGCACGGGGGCCAACCAGTTATACTATCTTGCTCTGGCTTCAGAGGCACCTAGTTTGAGAGCCTCTCTCCAGACTTGTGCCAAAGGCTAATCCCTGTAGCTCTAGCTATCAATGGACATGTGGCTATTTAAGTTACAGAAACTACATAGCTGGCAGGCTAATTAGTAGCTTATGGCTTATCCACTCACTGACCATGCTAGAAGAAGAGCACTGCACCAGTGGTAGTGTCTGGAAGCCGCCTGGCTGCAGAGGACAGGCAGGCAGAACTGGGGGGGAGTTCAGGCCACCCCTGCACTCCTCATACGAATGCACATTATCCTAATCCTGTGCCTGGCAAGTCCCTGGCATTGAGAGAGTGAAATCACCCAGCTGTTTATTGCTAGCTCCCCAGGGAGTGAAGGGCACCAAATTAATTAAACTGGGACAAAACTTTTCATAGACATTCCTATTCTGGTATAAGAGCGGCCTTTCTCCCATTAGCTTAGACATGTTTGTAATCACTTTGCAGTAAATTCAGAGAACCCAGCTTTTTATTGGCATAACAGCATCCAGGTAGCTTTTTGTATCAGATTAACTAAAGTAATGTTGAATCTCACTTTTAGTTAAAAGTCGCACAGATTTCTGGGTAGACAAGCCCTTGGAGAGAAAACATATCTTCCCATCCTAGTCTGGGATCTCCCTTTTGGACCCTGGCATGGAAAAGGATTGAATTTGAAAGTGCTCCCACACCAGGATGAGCATGGGTGCAGCAACTGCTGCTCTTTTATCTCATCCCCGGACTGTCCAATTGCATCTTCTCCATCTGAATGTAACTGGCCTGACAACCATTCCCAGCAAATCTGCATTACATCAGCTGCTGTTTCAAACCAGTCAGGAGATAAACTCCTCAGCTATCAGATATATCCAGGGCATTAACAACACAACCTTTAATTAAAAGTCCAGTGTGTCACAGACTGTCACCATAGTGCTCACAAAATCAATGAAGCCACACTAAAACCTTTTGACCCTCTCAGCATGGGTTTGTAACATGAAAGGTTATATTTTCCAATGGCAATGACATTGGCTGTTAGAATGATTGAGCTATAAGCTGTATTGACTGATGCAGCCTACAGGAAGGGTAATGTGGCTTTTCATACACAGCTCACAGTCTTTACGAAGCTAGTGTCAGATTCCTTATCAGTCAGTTACTGTGACCATACGATGAGTTACATCTATGCTTCAGCAATATTTGTGGGTATATACACACATGCATGATGCTTCTGTGTGCATATCTAAACACCATGTTTAGGGCCTGATTCTCTTCCCTCACTGTTGACAAATCAAGAATAATTCCATTGAAGTCAGTGAAGTTACACTGGTGTAAAATGGGTGGCTAAAGCTGGAGAGAACTCCAGAAACATGAGGAAGCTTTGAGAGCATCTTCAAAGCTCGCGCTAAGAGTTTAGGTCCTCATGGTCTTGGAGAACCTAGCAAACAAAAAGTGTGTGTCTGCTCATGAGGGAAACCTTAGATTTACTCTCACATATATAGAGAGATCTTTGGGGGTATAAATATTCATAGGTTCAAAATAAAAAACAGGACTGATAATAAGGATGTGTGTTTATCTCAGTCTTGGTAGAGGCCCTCTGCCATGCCCCTAACTCTTGAGCTGCCCTTGATCTAAATGGGCTGCAGCCTGGTTTTTTCCCCTTGGACTTTCTGGGGACAGGCTCTCTGACTGAAATGGGCATCTTTGGCCCAACTGCTTTGGGTCCATTAGGACCAGCACTAACTCCTTGAACATAAACACAACCTTCCCCTGAGCTCCATGCTTGTGGGTGTGTTGTGAGTATGGTTCAAGTCTTCAGAGCTCGTGAACACACATTGGCAATATATCTCCCATTGATTTTGCACAGGATTCTTAAACAAATTACTCTTTTGTGGCACAAAAAAAGCACACACACAGACAAAAATAATTGACACATCCGTACACATTTCCCTGCTCTTCAAGCAGAGAGTCTTCTGGTAGGGTCAGATTCCCCCTCTCCAATACACGGCCTCTCTCCAAAGTCTCCCAGTGTCACCTAATGTCCTTCTTCCACAGCTGATTCCACAATTAAGCAGTGCCCTCGGTCCCCCAGAAGCATGGCTGTGTCTTCCTGTCTCCTGCAGTAAAGCTTTCTGTGTGCGTCTCTGCTTTTTAAAGACCAGCATCTAACACCTTGGTTTCTTTGTTCTTCACCTGAGGGTTTTACATGTGTTAGACCCTAGCCCCCTGCCTTCTTCCCCTGAGAACTTGGGGAAAAAAAGTACTTCTGATTTTACCTAGGCTATTGTCCCAAGGTGTTTCCACGTGAATAAGCAATCACTGAGGTCTGACAGCTCACTGTTGTACCTGTTTTGGGGAATGTGCCAGAGCCCTGCGAGCAGATGGTCCACTTCACATTCACTGGAATTCCACAATTTAGAAATTCTGTAATGTTAATCAGCACTCATAAAATATCTCAAGACAGATGCCCCAAATCAATCTAATCTTAAAATTAACAAAGGCTAAAGAAAACTCCCTCTCTGTTTAGTAATCCTATTTGAAGATATAAGCTTATGTGTGCAGCCATGGAGATCCATGATATAACTCTGGGGATCTCAGTGGAGTAGAATTTGTCTCATGAATTGTGAGTGCCAGTGGGGTAATCAGTGCAAAGACAGAGTTTATGATTTGTCAATAATATGTTCCCCATGCATGGGGATGCCTTGATATTTGCCGTGAGCTATCATTGACCATGTTTCTAATTTCAACCTAGTATTGATCCCTTAATGCAGTATAATTTCCCTTCATACAGCATCTTTGATACAGAAATATCAGAGAACACTTACTAAGTGATTACAATCTGCACATACAAACACAGGCAGGGTGTATTAGGTACAATTCACCTTGAAGGGCAAGGTGGAAACAAATAGGGCAATAAAAGAGACTGCAAAAGCCAATTACATATTATCTTCTTTCCTAAGTGGTGACCACTTAATTAGAAGACAAGGTATCAAAGATCAGAGAAGAACCCCAGCACTGGGGGGATTGTAAAATGCTATTGAAAGCAGGGAAGTTACTCTTTTTTTTTATGCCAGCATTTTTGAGCTGAAGCTGCTGAATGCTTTTGTGTTTAATTCCCAGGAGACAAGCGAGCAATAGATTTCCTTAGTCAATGCATGCACATTTTGCTGTTGTTTATTTTCAGGCTCCCAGGAGAATGTGCTTATCAAAAAGAGTGCAGCCTAGGCAACTACTGTAAATTGCCCAGAATATCACTTATGTGCTGCAGCCTGAAATCAGAGCTGAGTGACGGCAGGAAAGGGCAGCAACAACAACACAATCAGCTCCACGGAGGAGTGAAAGCTGCTTTCCCTTAACAGGGTTCTTAAGTGAGGCCCTTCTTAATTTAACTTGATCCCATCTGCAATGGGAAGAAATGCAGCACAGAAAAGGGGGCCCTGATGTTGCGAGGAGATGATAGCCAAGTGCATTTTATGTTATTGCACCCATTCCTGTAACTGGTCTTGGCTGGCATCCAACTCCTTTCCCTTCAGTTTTTTAAATACGGGGTCAAGTTCTCTGCTGGTGTAGCTCAACATAGCAACATTGACTTTCATTCAGTAATGATCACCAGCTGAGGATCAGATCCATGGACCTCTTTTCTACTTACCGAACCAACTACATTCCTCTCTCATAGGTTTTTGCAGCAAAAGTGCTCAACTTTGTCCTACCAAACCTGTCCCTGGGATCCATAGATCCAAATGTGGTTTCCCGGAATAAGAAGGAGGTAAGAATGTTAATACCATTTTCATCTGATGAAGTGAACTTGGGGTTCACAAAAGCCTGTGCTCCATATATATGTATCTTATTTAGTTAGTCTATAAAGGTGCATACCCTTTTCAGTCATTGGAGTCTTGGTAGATAGCAAAGAAATAGCAGTACTAGGTATATGACATACTATTGAAGGCTTGGGAGCTTTAAGTCCTTACACTAACAAGCAATTTTAGCCCAAAGTCAGGAACTGTTCAGTCACCAGTTCAGTGCAGTTGGCATCCAGGGTGTGCTTTAGGCCAGAGAGGTAGCATTTGGCTGTGGGGTGCTCAGTGCAGCAAGTATGGGAACCATCCTTTGCCACTGGCATGCAGCTCCAATGGCAGCAGCCCTGGAGGAAGCTGTGGTTTAGAGATGGCTCATATACTTCAGGCTGTGTACCGTTATGGCAACAGAAAGACTTGAGTCCCATCAACACAGAGCAAAACAAATGGCCTCTGCCCCAAAGAGGTTACAGTCAGAGTAGCCACTGTCACCCATTACAGCCTCCATGATTACTACCCAGAGCAGAGCAGCACTGGGGGAAAATATTTTGTCAGCATAAATGTGTCTCATGGGACTGAGCTGCTACGTGGAGAGGCAGCTTCTCTCCTCCCTCTTCCTTACAAACACTCCCAGTACTAGCTGTTGTAGTCACTGGTAAAACCAGATGTCTTAGCAACTGCACAAAATAATGAGTAAAAACGCTCCCACACCTTTCAGGAGAAACAGCCATGTGTAGGCTTGGGTTTGTACTTCAGTGCTGAGGGGGAAAGAAAAGAGAAACCTCAATGAATGAAAAAGCTCAGTGTGAAAAGGTTTCGTGAGCCGGGATCTAAGTTGGTTTCTAAGATCAACAGAAATGACAGAAAATGGTACCCGAGGGCTTCTCAGAAGCAGGAGTGTTTGGCAGGCAAAGCAGACACTTACTCCCTGCCCACCTGTGTGCCACTGAGGCATGCTGTCATTTTTCAAGCCTCTGACTGGCAGGATAAGTTGGATTTGTCTTTAAATAGATACAAGTCCATTCCCCATCTGTGGGAGTGTCTGTGCACCATCAGACTGTACATTTGCCACTTGCCACACACGCTTGATTGAATAGAGAGGGAGCAGACAGGTCAGTCGAAATATAAGCATGGTACAGGTAGGCTTTGTTTGCAGGTTTGGTTTGCTTTGAAAGGGGGGCTGTGCAAAACGGCACCGTTCCATGTCGCCTTGAGTTTCAGTGGTTCGAGGGAACAGTGTTTCATCTCAAATTTCATTTCGAGTCGAAACAGCTGTTCCATTCCATTTTGTCGAAACAGAAACACTGTTTTGACACTGTTTTGAGTTTTGCTACATTGCAATGGGGTGGAAGGCAGCCCAGTTGGGCTGCTTTCCTGTGTCCTGCACTAGATCAGTCCAGGAGCAGGAGGCAGCCCAGCTGGGCTGCTTCCCAGGGCCCCATGCTACATCGCTGGGCTGCCTCCCACCCCTGGTGCGATGTAGCATAAGGCCCTGGGAAGCAGCACAGCTGAGCTGCCTCCCGCCCCCTGCAAGATCTTGTGGTCGAAACATTTCGATCAGCCTCATTTTGTTTTGAGGCTATTTCGACCACCTTTGTTTTGTTCTGATTTTGCTATTTCGAGGTCGAAATTGGTCGAAACAGTGTTGGAATGAAAAAGCTGGTGAAATTTCGCACAACCCTAGAAATTAGGAAAGATGGTCATGAAGAATAACCACAAGGACTCCTGGGTTCTAGTCCTGGATATGACAGAGACCCTCTGCTCAAGTCACGTACTCTCTCTGTGCCCCAGTTTCCGTGTCTGCAAGCAGGAATAATAATATACTGGGTTTAAATCCTCACTGTTTTAAAAAAATCTTTGAATTCTTCATCTGGAAAAGAGAAAAGTAGGTAGAGCACCTGCTTGAATACTATGGCTCTGGACAGAGTCTATGAACCAACCCAGGCAGCACTAGTTAAACGCCCACTTTGTAACCTGTATCTCCTCAAATGTATTAGTGAGCTTTGGAATAACAAAGACCCACAAAACATACGCACACAAATAAGGTTGGCTCCATCCAAGTTATAGGAACAATGCTTAGCTGCATCTATCTGCTCTGTGGTGTTTCATCATGGAAAAGGTGTTACCAACTATTACTTTTAGTTGGTATTACCAACTATTACTTGAGCAACAGTTTAGAGAAGAGTTGATAAACTCCTGTGAAAAAAGATCTGTTCCTGGGTTTTTGAGGAGGATTGACATCACGGGTCACTCCTCAAATGGAAAGTGCTAGTGATATGCTAAGTACTGTCACTGGGGATGAGCTCTGACCTCAGGACATCCCCATTATGGTGAATTCAAATAGATGCCTACCGTCTTCTCTAATTTGGAGCATAATTTTATCCAGTCACGTCATTGGGAAGGGTGATGCTGAGCAGTGTTATAACAACTGAAGGATACAAGGGAGATCCCCCTAAATTTCCTGTTTTCTTTGTGTTCATGCCAGACTGCCCTCAAGATGTAGGTACTGAGAGGTACAGGGTAGACTGGAGATGATTTTCTGTTACTTACATGGATGGAAAGTAATATGGGGTGCTGATGAGAAGCAGTCCCATTTCTGGGAAAAGCAGGGCTAATCTCATTAATTTTTATTCAAGTCTTGCTCCATCTGTCATTGAGATTGTAAATATTCTGGCTGATTTCAGTGAGCACTGGATAAGGCTGTAAGTGCTTAGTAGTATGTTTCATGCTGTGGAAGATACTTGGAGAAAATGCAACCCCGGCCTAGAACTTCTTATGGTCTAAATAGATGGGTAATACCAGGAGACATGGTGGATAACTCTTATCTTAAGGAAAATTTAAAAACCTCTTCATTGGCTGTTGAGATGGGTTCTACAGTTCCCACACCAGGCCTGGGCAAGAAAAAATCACTGAACTGTCTCCAATATAAAGATTTTGACCAGACCTAGTCTTCAGTTGCTGCCCACGGTCTCCATGTTGGCAAGAGAGCTGCCTCCAGCAGTAACCAAGCATAAGGGAACAACAGGGAAAGGAGGCAGACAGAACCAGGATTTTGTAGAAGGCAGAGGACAAGCAAGAAGTGGGAAAAGGCACAAAGGGAACAACGAGTCAGATTTACTAGTAGAGCAAAGGTAGGTAAGAGGGCTGCAGTAAGAAACGAGCCCAGATACAGGGCAATGGAAAGATGGATGGGAACGCGGATATAGGAGGGTGATTGCCCCAGACTGTCATTCACCTGAGGGCTGCTGAATGGCTGGAGGCGTTATATCCCTTATTATTAGTCACAGGACTCTCCCTAGGGTTCAACTCACAGAGCAGGGCATTCCCCCATGGGGCACCCCACATACGTAGCATGCCCTTCATAGCAGGGTGGCTCCCCTCACTGGGCACACTTTCTGTGGGAAGGCAGCCCACTGCACAAGGCACAACCTCCCACAGGCACAACTTGAATGGCACAGCAACCCCCCACCTCAAAAAGTGCCTCCCCACACAAGCCCCCCTCCATAAGGCATCCCCCAGTCACAGGGGGCCTCATGTACAGGAGTTGCTGCAAGCTTCTGCTTCATCTCTACCAGGTCCCATCCACATCACTGGTGATGGAGAACCTTAAAAGTCAACTGAACTTCTCTTCACCCTCCCTACAGCTAACCCTCAGCCCACCAGATGTTACAGATAGCAGGTCTTGGAGCTGCCTTCTCCTGTGCCATCACAACCTGCCTTGCTGCGAAGTGGGGGTGCTGCTTCTTTTGAAGACGGGAGATAAATCCCCATCCTTCTTCCTCATTTCTTTATCCTCCTTACACTAGGAGAAACCTGTGCTGTACACTCACTCCATGTACAGACCTTTAACAACTGGGATAATGATTGTCATCCATTAGTTGTTTTTATCCCTCTCACCATGTTGATCATTCTTTAGGTATTATTTTTTTCCATCCACACACAAGATTGGTCTGCCACTTAGTAGCTAAAAATTCCCTGTTGTTTAAAAGAAAGAAAGAAAGAAGCCCATTAGGCCATCTCTTGGCATTTATGCTATTATATCGGGATGGAAGGGGGCCACCTCATATAAATTTCTCTATATTATTTTATTCCATGTGTAGGGAACATCTGTCAATCCCGCCCCCCACCCTGCTTGATCCCCCAGCCTGAGTCCTTCTTCTGTTGCCTTCAGTGAAATGGAAAAAGAAAAAGGAAACCACCTCAAAGCTGTGTTGCCTTAGTGCAGCACTGCAACACAGCTCCAAAGAAATAAATCACAGATTAGGCTGAAGCCAGTTGCTAAGTAGCTGAAGGAACCCTATGCCTTTTGTTTAAATTGCAAACAAAAAGTTCAGTGGTTTGGGTAAAAATATATTGGGTGATGCCCAGCTGCTAGAAAGAGGGGTGACAAAATTAGATGTGCTAGATGTTCCAGAAGTCAAAGTGTACCTTTTCCAGGAGCACAATCCCAGGGCAGCTCTTTCTAAATTCAGGTAGCTTCATTGTGTTACAGACAGCTTTCAGAAAAGGGAAGAGGTTTCAAACAAGTGGGACGGGGCTGTGCAAGATTCATGGTCCACTGACATGGCTCTCTGCCTGGTGGGAGGTGCAGGTGAGACCTGAGGTGCCTGCAACAGTGATGCTGCACCCCTCGGGGCTGTCTGGGAGAGTGGGTTTAGGCGCTGAATAGTCACACTGGCAGAGTATTACATGAGGGAGCAGAGTGCTCAGAAGCGTCGTCTTCTATTGCTTCCAGGAGTCAAGGATCCCAGGTTTGGGCTGTGATTGTGTAGTTTCAACCAGGATTTCACCACCAATGGATTCTTACAGACGTGTTCCAGACCCCTGTGTCTGTACAGACACATGAGCTCATGTGTGTTGGCAGAGATGTGCTCAGGCTTCCCATGCTTGACCTATTGGAATGAGAGGTCAAGGTAACCAATAATTACCCCTTACTTTGGAGTATTTTTTACTGTGCCCTTAATTTTAATTTCTAGTAAAGAGAAATATAAACCCACACATTTAAAGTGGGGGTCTCAAAACAGCAACACGTTTGAAGAGGGGGTCCCAAAACACCTAAAGTCTAACGGTAGTCAATATTGCTAATTTTCAAGGGTCACCTCTTATATGGGATAGAGGGAACTCTACCTCTGGAGCTTGCTCCTCACATTGGTCAACCAGAGCCCAAACTTAGTGAGCATCGGAGCTCGGAGTAACAGTTCTCTCTCCGAGTAAGTCTCTGGTTCCTGTCTGAGCCATTGGAACTGCAGAGGCAGAAGGTTCTTCATTTGAAGATGATTTTTGTTTCCTGTTCCTCCCTCTAACATCTCCTTGGTAGGATAGCCTATGGGTCTGAGCTTAGTCAAGGAATACATACAGAGTAGGTTATTGACGCCTGATGGTAAATTCTTTTCTGCCCTGGGGAAAACAGAGCATAGGACCAGGAGGCAACCAGCCAGTTCGAGCTTCCTGTTCTTCTGTATATGCCCTGGGAAAGACTAGAGCACCTTAGGGGCCTGCATGGACCTCCGTCAGCTGGTAGTGATCTTCATTTGACCATCATCCACCACCAGTGGGGGCTGCTATAGTGACTTCTATCCTGCCCATCTCTTTCCCCCAGTGCATATACTGGGCTTGGGGCTATGTCCATAGGAGACTTCCCCTGTGGGAAGGGAATCCACAGCAGGGGACTTGCAGGTGGAAGCAGAGAATCCATCATGTGCCAGTTCTAATCCTTGGATTCAGTTCCTGTGACAGATGCAATCACAAGGGCTTTGAGATCTAACAGTGGTCTTGTCGGAAGTAGCCTGAGAGGAAATGGGTAGAGTTTAAAAGCGCTCATCCAATAGCACCACCGTCTTTGTTACCTGTAGGTTTTTAGAAGGATACATCAGCCCCCAGTCAATGCATTTTGCTTCACGGTCTAATGCTTGTCAACTTTAATGAGTGAGTCTGTTCCAAAGCTCCCAGCTAAGTGAGAGCTAATGGGGGACTGCCTCGCAGGTAGTCTCACAATCCCTCATTCCCACACAAAGTAGGGGCTCCAGCATCCTGCCAGGGGGACTCACTTTTGAAGAGTCTCTGTTGCCTGTGAGGATAAAGCCGAGGCTTCATTCTGTTAACCTAAAAATAATGATGTTATCTGAAAGCCCAATGAGATTTTAGAGGAATCAGCTGCTGTGCCAGGGACCAACCTGTAATCGGAGCTAACTGGCAAATATTGAGATGGTAACGCGCGCGTAGGCCACAGAAGCTCGTTTCTCTGTGCACAGTGTACAAATATTTACTGTAGCTTTGCATGATGCAGTAACTAGCCATTCCTAGCAACCCAGGATTGCTGGCTCTCCACTCTTAGCCAGCCTGCAAGAGGAGGATATGAATTTGCAAGTGAAATATTGATATACATTTTTGCCTCTCAGCACCTTATGCCATTGTTTAAATTAATATAAATATTGCCCAACCCTGGGGTCTCCATACTAACTGGCCAAGAGGCCAAGACCACACCTAGCTGGTAAGGGTGCACCAATAAAGATTTTTTTGGCTGATACCAGTGGCCGATTATTAACCAGCCATATCAGCTGATACCGATCCACTGATTGATAGGCAGCCCGGCAGCTTGGAGAGCGGCATCCAGCCATTAAGTCTGGGGGGGGGGGGGACGC